TTCACACAACTTTCTAGCTTGGTTTATATACATGAGCGAAAATTCATGATTAGACATTTGATTGAATAAAGATAAAGCAATAAGAAGACGTAATTTGTCTGAATCGTGTACTGTTGTATTTGCGCACAACACATTTCGAACAATCTGATCACACACGGACTTGTCATAGGAATATATATGAAATTAATAAAGAGGTGAGAAAATAGACTACTTAGGTCAAGTTAAAAGGACATATTCAGGGTCAAAATAACAACGAAAACCATTAAACCAAATAGCAGAGGTTATGGTACATCTGCTATGGTATCAAAAAATTTACCAAGGAAGGTTTAATACGATGACGAATTGTTTTTGAACGCATAAAGGTGGCTTAAACTTTCTAATTGCCAGCTACGGCTTCCACAAACTTTAGGATCCGCCCTCCCCCAAAAAGGTTTCATAGATAGGTTTAAAAGATGTGTTAACGTCATTTTTATGTCCTATCTCTATAATATGTTTCGCAATAGAAGAGCTATGTCTCCTGTTCTCACCATTAATGGGTTCTGAAGATTCCGTTTGTTTCTGCAACCATTTAGGAATATGCTGTGAAGACAGCCCTTACTTGTAGAGATCGGTGAGTCCTTCCTATGTATGTGTGTCCACACGTATATTCAAATAGTTAAATACTGTGGGATGTGACGTCATTTTTCGCATGTTCGAAGGGCTTAGATAGATATAATGCCTTTACATTATCTATTATTATGATATTAGCTGCATAAAAAGTCTTTTTAACAGCAGCGTTCAGTTTTTGTGTAGTTATCAAGCTGCTATGATGCCCATCTTTCTTAGGGACGAGTTAGAGAGTGGGTCTTGGTGTTCCACTGACTACTTCATATCTCCTGATGAACATGTCTAGATAATTGTTATCAACCAGAGTTTGTGTCAACTTTCTTTCTTCTTCATCAAGTGTGTCTTCAGTGCATGTTCGTTGGATTCTACTGAAGAAGCACCTCGCTCACTAAGGCTCCTCTTTTGTACTGAACAGGTCAGAAACTGTGTAGTAATTAAGATACTGTCCTGTCCAGGTAGGTTTTCTATAAATAGATCTTTTTATCAAGCTGTCGACTAAGCAATATATCTTCCTCTTCTACAGATGTAAGTGCGTCGGTGGCACAATGGTTAGGACTCTCGCCAACCATGAACATGGTCCGAGGTTCGATCCCCTGCCGACGCACACCTGATATCTGTGGTCGGCCTGCAAAATTTGGGCTACCGATAACACATGCTGAAAATTCCATACTTGTACCAAAAATACGGTATGGAATCAAGCTGTAATAAAAAAAATTCATTCTATTTGAAATTGAGGTGGCAGAACAAGACTTATAACTGATGATCACAATATCATCTACATGATTGAATAAAATCAATATAAGATGAGCAAGTACATTCGGAAATAATATTCGTGTCATCAATAAAATAGAATCAGATGGGAAATAAGATGTTTCATGTAGTAAAATAGATAAGTAACTTGTTAGAATGTTACGATATACGTGAATTGAAATAGAATTTTAAGATTATTTATTTTTCTCCTCCGATTTGATTGACTGGCGGTAATAATATCTTCTACATCTTTGGTATTTGCGTTGCGTGACTTCTGTTGTATGTGTTGGGTGTAGATTATTCAATTGACTAGGTTTCAGTAATCAACTACCTCTCTCTGGCTCCACCTACCTATATCACTCTTTACTCTTATTATTATTACTCTTTACAATTTTGAATCTTTCCCACCCTCCATATTGTGTGGTTGTGTGTTGATGCAGTGAAATCGTTGAGCTTTTTTCTGAATTACTTATCTTCGTGAGTGGAGTCAATCATTCTTACCTCAGCTAAATTCCTGTGTTAGAAAGTTCTGTAAATAACTTGACATGATTATGAGCAATAAATTGTTTTAGAAACGTTATCAGTAAATATTACTGTATAACACTGTGAGACTTTAACAAAATAATTTTTTTTTATCCAAAATATAATTATACTCCACTCTCTTTCTATCGGTTAAGTTTGCCTTGTGATCACTAGGCTATGTGACTGAATATGACAATGCACTTTGGATTAATTTTACATGGTTGAACGCAATTGGCAGAAAGTCTTGGAGCCTAACCCTAACAAAGCACTAGACTTATTAGTAACCAATCAATGCATCTATTAATGCGTCGGTGGCATAGCGGTTAGGACGCTCGTCGACCACACGCATTGTCCGGGTTTCGATCCCCGGCCGACTCACTCCTTTACCTCGTTAAGCCAGAAATAATTCTGGTAAAGAGGAAAGTTTGGGCATGAAGCTAGCAACCCCATCCTGTAAAATTAAACACTGCTACAGAAACTTCAAGTTATTAGCTTGAAGCCCTATGTTCCACTAGGGAACGTGAAGGAAAAAAAAGCATTTGTTAGCGTCTTACAGAAATTAAACCGTGAGCCGAAACAGCCCATTGGTTACGCCTCTAGCGACAATACAGAGTGAAACCGGTTTAAGTCTCCGAGGGAACATTAGTTCCTTCGAGATTACTGACAAGCGACAAAAAAGCACCCGAAATCTAGATCCAGGGCGTACTGTTGCTTGCAACCAACTAACTAACATCAATTATATCCATTTTTAGTGAACTGATTATTGTTTCGAAACCAACTGATCTACTAATTTTGGACAGTCGAGTGGTTCCGTCGACTTTCACCCTATAAGCGTGGCTAATTACGATGTACCTGCAGTTGAGTGGGTTTTCTTTCTGATCAATTCGCCCAAAATTATATGATTACATCAAAAGAGACTAGAAGAACAGAATCAGGGAGATAATCATTCGGTAGCTTCTGAGCTTTGATATTCGTTCAGAAAGGTTTTATGACCCACATGGTATGCAATTTTATCATCTTATACTTCTTGAAAAACATCCTGTGTTAGATGGTTGCAGGCAATCGGCCACAGAAAGCCTAGCCTGATCTAGGTTTCGTGCTAGTTGGCACTCGTGAGCAAGGCGTATCTGCAACTGCCTTGAAGGAACTCATGTCCCTTCTGAGATTCGAACCCGCGTCACCCAGTGCCGCCTGCAGTCAGAGACGCCACCACTGAGCTATTCGGGCTCGCGACTGACCTCCTGTATTGACTGTAGCACTGGGTGATGCGGGTTCGAATCTCAGAAGGGACATGAGTTCCTTCAAGGTTGCAGATACACCTTGCTGAATTGTGAGTGTCTACTAGCACGAAACCTAGGTCAGACTGGGCTTTTTGTGGCCGATTGCCTGCAACCATCTAATATATCATCAAATCAGTGTGCACTGTGATGGCGAGCTACCTAGTGGCATGATGGTCACATTACAAACCTGTCTGAATTCAGTCTGCACCAATGAGAGGACTAGACACATCACACTAGTTACTAGTGTCAAATTAAAATATCCTATGTTTCAGACATTTAGTTTCTTAATGAAGCAACTAATATCAAACATCAGAATTCACAGAGTGCTAGGCAGTACTCACCTTCATTTTAAGCCTAAAGTTTTATGTGATCAGTATTCATTTCTTATCTTATTGTATTTGATTAATAACACTAATATTGTGGTGAGGGCTGTCTGCAAGCTGAAATTATAGACAACAGTTTACGTCAATGTTTACGTCCCAAATCAGGGGCATGAGAAAAAACAATAACAAAGCCTAATCCTGGGGAACTGACCAACCAGGTACAGAAAACTTGACGTGTGCAAATAGGATTCGCAGATGTATGGCTCAACTTTCTAAGAAATGCTCGCAAGCAGTACAGAATAACCTTGAGCAAGAAGACGGCGAATCAGAGGACTTTGCTTCTCTGTTAACAATAACGCTAATAATAATGTGCATAAAAATCTATAAATATATGTTGATTTTCACAATAAACGATCTGTTGCCTAACCCTTTTCTTATGTCGTTACAATATTATTTCTAAATGTACTTTCTCATCTTATATTATTGATTTTATTCAAATGTCTAATCATCAATGTTTACTGATATATGTATAAGCGAAGGAAGAAAATTGTGTGAGTAATACCTTGATATTGATTATGAGCAATAATAATAAATTGTGCTCGAAAGGTGGTCATCATCAGTAAATATTGCTGTATAACACTACACTGTGTGTGATTTTATCAAAATAAAATTTTTATCCATACTGGAGTTATACTCAACCATCACGGTGCCCATGCCTTATATGGTCAAGTTAAACTTTAAGCACCACTAACTACCAATGGAGCACGACCGCACCAGTGACCTTGAAACGCTCACTATGCAAGTTAGTGAAACCAGGCAAATAATGTTGTGTCATCATCAATAAAATATGCTTATCGAAGCGTTATGCTATTTAAATGGGATATCTGGGAAGTTTCAACTTAGGGCTTGCGAAAGATTAACTATCCTACTCTTTAAGCCAAGGACAAGGTAGGGTTAGGTTAATCTAACAAAGGCGACAGTAGATTTGGTTCGAGTTAGATCACAGTTAGTTTAGGGATATTTTCACGTTAGGATTAGGTTCAGGAAAGATTAGGATTAGAAGACCCAAATAATTACATGTATAGAATGTAGTTAAATTACTCTGTTGACATAAGAACTTGTGCATTGTGGCATATAGTTTAATTCCATTGTGGGTAAAATTTATTCTGATAAAGTCCCACAGTGTTATGCAGCAGTAGTAATATTTACTGATGACCACGTTTCGAGCACAATTTATTGCTCAGTAAATATTACTGTATTATACAGTTATGAGACTTTATCAAAATAAATTTTACCCCCAATGAAATTATACTCAGTTCGTACACCAACCTAAAACTGAAAACTATTTTAATCCCATGTAAGAGGAAGCTGTACAATTTTTCCATAAATATATGTATGTATTCCATACACAGAAATGCCTCCTTCATGTGATTGGTGCTTTCGAGGCCATTTGGTGATTGATTAGTAGTTAGTGGTGCTTGAAGTTTAATTTTGCCTTTCCTCTTTTGCTTTTTTTCAGTTCATTGATGAAAATGTATACAACAATGCTATCACAGCGACTCCTGTTACTCCAACTGCTGATGCCATCACCATTCCTCCTGCTGCTGCCGCTAATACTACTACGAATAATGATGATGACAATGAAAGAGAATACTTAGATTTAGATGAAGTTCAACAGTCACGTTATACTGGCCTACAAACACCGAATATTATTTGTTATCTAGATGAATCGATCAATTATTATCCAATTAGTGGTAGTAGTAGTAGTCAACCGGTAGATGAGATCAACGCACATCCTGGTGATCAACGCACTACTCACCGTCATAATGACAGTGACCTTGTGATAGAGGAATTATTGTAATTTATGCATATTCTGTATTCTTTTTCCTTTAGGCTTTATCTGCACACACACACACACAATATCTATGTATGTCATCATGGCACCATACACACATTATATACATATGTGTATTTTTAGAGTATATTCGCCCATCTATTGGTGTTGTGTTGTCCCTCTCTCCCCCCCCTCTCTCTCTCTCCGTGTACTACTATCACCACTTGATTTTATTTGAGTTTTGGTCTTTTTTCTAAAGTCGAATTTCTTTATAATTTTTTAAAATATTTATTATCCCTTTACAGAAAAGAAACAATAAATAATGTGCAATATTAATATGGAATGTGTATATCCTATTTAGAGAATAAAAAATTGTCTTTTCAATCTGTTCTGAGTAGTTATCCTCCTCACATCGGTCTAGCTTATTATTATTATTATTTCTTTGACTTCAACAACACATCTCCACTTTCTTCTATTCTCTGCCGGCCTCTTCAGCGTTCTGTCTGTCTGTCTGTTTTCAACATATAACTTTGCACCAATGTGTAGAGCAGTTCAAGTCTCCACACTCCCTCCATGTAGCACACAAAGCCAGAGAAAAAAGTAAAAAGAAACGCGAATTATAGACAGTAAACAGAGATATGAGGCAAAAAGAATAGAAATATGGAAAGACGATATAGTTTTATTGGGTATTATAAGTCACAGGGAGTGGATGCATCTGCACCAGCTTTTGAGAACGATTTTGAGCCATATCATCATCACTTGTCTCCAGCCATTGGTGTTTACCGTCCTGAGGACTGCAACCAGTCAGGAAGTCTACAGGAAGTTAGGTGTCGAGTGCTAGGTAAGGAGGGGGAAATGAGATGGTTCGGACATGTGTTACGTATGCCTAGTCATCGCCTTCCTCGACGAGCAATGTTAGCGGATATAGGTTCAGGCTGGAAAAAAGCTAGCGATTGTCAAACAAAAAAATGGCACCAATCAATGAAATCTACAACAGTTAGTCTAAGCCAGCCACGTAGGAAGGTATAGACTTCCTGACTGGTTGGGGTTCTCGGAACGGTAAAAACCAATGAAGGCTGGAAACAATTGGTGATATTGCTCAAAATCGTTCTCAGTGATGGTTAGCGCAGATGCATCCACTCCTTGTGAATTATGATTTCCAATGAAACTATATTGTTCTTCGTTATTACTATTCGTTTTTCTCACACCTTTGATTACTGTCTCTATTATGCATTGCTTGTACTTTCTTCTCTTGCTTTGTGTGGTACATTGAAGGAGTGTGGCGACTCGAACTGCCACACATATGTGCAAAGTTCTATGTCGAAAACAGACAGACTACATCTTCCTACGTGGCTGGTTTAAGCTAACTGTTGTGGATTTCATTGACTGATGAAACCATGTTTTGATTTGACCATCACTGGCTCTTTTCCAACCTGATCCTATGTCAGCTCACACTGCCCATTGGTCGAGGAAGTTTATGACTAGGCATACGTAACACGTGTCCGAAACATCTCAGTCGATGTAGCTTCACAGCCTCATCGACTGATTTTCTCTCCTTGCCTGTCAGCCGACGCCTAACTAACTCAATAATACTCACGCTATTGTACCACTTCACATGAGAGATAGAACACAGGCACCTATGATCAAATACAGCTAACCTTTTCATGTCCTTAATTCTCAATGGCCATGTCTCGCTCACAGCCATAAAGGAAGACAGAGCGGATTGCTGAGCAGTACACCCATCCTTTGGTCGATAGCCAGTCAACCAGCCGGATATCACGTCTATGCCATAGGTGGCGTAAACTGGCATAGTCAAAACTAGCTTTCTGTATCCGTGCTGAGATTTCGTCAGCGATCAACCCGTTGACGTTGGCTGATGGAAATTCCCAAATAACTGAAGTGGTTAACATGCTCTACCACTTCACTCCCTACTTCTAAGCTAGGAACCAATGTAGTCCAACCAGTCCTGTAATATCATCTTACATTTAGCGGGAGTGAGCCAAAATTTGGGCTACCGATATTACATGCTAAAAATTCCATACTTGTACCAAAAATACAGTATGGAATCAAGCTGTAATAAAAAATATAAGATAACAGTACTGAGAAGAACCTAATTGGTAACAGTCAGAGATGCAAAAAACGCGAAATTTCTTGTATTGGGAGATATGAAACATAAGACAGATTCTTTTGCGTTCGGTGAGGATCCAATCAAATGAAAAAAAACGGATATAGAGTTGAAAAATGTTCAGTCTGTGAATCAGACATCGTTAGCAGAAAAGTTACACTGAATCATTCAATCCAGAGTGCGTTATGTCTTCTTTTTCACTGAAGAAACCTCAGAACTTCTTTTGAAAGGAAATACTATAACAAAGTACAACAAATCAGCACTTTATAGTATCTCTCGTTAATGAGCAAATCAATTTGAGTTTGAATGTTGTTTCATTTGCCAGTGAGAGACGCACACATAATTCGTGGATGTCCTCCTCACAAGAAAACCGCATGTGATAGTATACAGATAAATTTGCATAGGGAAAGTACATGGACAACACAATATACACATTTTCATAGTTTCGTTACTCTCCACTACAAAAGAAATCTAGTAAGCACCCTCAGCCACAGTATTAGAGCCATATGCTCAGAAGAGATAATTAAAGAAGAACTAAGGATTGTATATGTTACCTTGATTGATGGAAAAATGCTTTCCAGACAGATTTATCAGGAAACACATGACTAGGAAATTTGAAAAGGACTATGCACTCACTATTCGTAAACAAGAAGCCTTTATGCATACGACTGCAACTCAAGGGTGATATATCTAGTGAAATAATTACGAATAAAGAATAGGAGAATCATTACAAAGAGCTGCTGGTCTTCGCCAATTACAAGTCATCTTCTCTACACGACTGATGGGGTATTCTTGAAGTGGAAGATGACGTACCTTGACTAGACTAGCCAATTCTAGTTGTATCTACCCATTCAACTGCTCTTGTAGAGTGAGTTATATTGACCGTTGCTCTAGGAACTTGATTTTTCGCACTCGCTTGGGAACATCTACCAGTGTAGATAAATAATGGTGTAGTAAGTGACATCAACAGCTCAATATTAGAATATTCGTTCCAAACTAGCCACAAAGCCAGCATTGAAGAATCCTTCTCCACCATTTGTCGGGTACAACATCGAGGTACCACATACTTCAAACAGCCGAGGCCAGTCACTACCAGTGCCCTGGCTGACCTTCAGTGGAGACTACACATTCATGAATTTGTATTATGATTATTTTTCCTAATTTCTCAGATAATCCGTGTATTGTTATGTTGATGCTATCGAAGTGTAGTCAGTCGATATTATTATTATTATTGACTCAATATTATTTAAACACTATTATTATTGTTAATAACGCCATTGTGTGTATATATAGCTGCAGAACCTGATGAAGAGTGGATTATCGAGAAGACATTTTTTAATTAAGTAACCATTCTTTTAGACTAATTTGCCTACTTATAAATCTGTCAGTAGCTTATATGCATTTGCAGATTGTTTAGATATGCAGAAAACGAATACAGTGATATATATATTGAAAGAGTAGTCGTCATTGACAATCTTGATGATTTTGAAGAAATAATCTCAAGTTGTTAGCCTCACTGAAATTAGAATTCATAAGCATGCATAAAAATATGACACTAAGCTGAATAATACTAGATAAAATGAAGAGAAGAAGTAATACAACAATTAGAGGCAATTAAAACAGTGGCGACTTGTTAGAAGCTCAGGACAATGGGAGGGCTTGTCAGATTTTTAACTACTACGTTAAAATGCCCAAGGTGTGTACCAACTTTTGCAGCTGGATTCCTACAGCTTCAGATGTTAAATGTAGAAGATAAAATTGTAAGACAAAATCAAAATTTGTTAGAATGCGGTAGAAAATTTTAAATGCCTTGTTAACATCAACTTTATATTCAGTAGCTAACTACAAGATATCTACAAGATCCTCAGTGTTGGTAGTGACTTTTAGAATGTGGTCGCTAATCTAGAAAACTTGCTGCTAACACTTATCAGCGTGACATATCTGCAGCAATATACGTTCACGCACATACCAATCGCCTTAAAGTGAATAATCATGTGGAATAGACAAATTTAGGTGAAAAAAGTTTGTTGTTATGATAAAGATGTCTGGATTAATTGTGTAAATTTATTAAACCGCAAACAGTTCTTTTAAGAATCACTGTTAATTTCTCTTAGGCGTGAATTCATTTTACCTTTCAAAAACCCTTCAAACTGCATTATTCGAGATTTTCAAGAGAATTAATTACCTGGGAATAACTTTGTTGGAAATTAGTCAACAAGACTTTCGAACGGTTCTTCTTTTGTGTGTTAAGTCAGTCGAACCCCAATCCCCCTCCACCTTATTCATAATTTACGTCATTTTAGTATTTGTGTTCTCTAGAAAGCACTTCAATGAAGTGAACTGGATTAGATATTATTATTATCATTACCTTTGATTTCTTTGTTATTTGAATTTGTTATTTTTCGCGCCAAAACCATTTATTAAGTGTTTTGATACATTTAAACAAAGGAGGGAGAAGAATAGTAAATTTTCAAGATCTATTGAGTTGTCGTAGTAATTGAAGTGAGAAAAGAAGAAAATGTACCAACTGAGTAGATTGTTTTAACAGCAAATGTTTCATGAAGTTTAAAGTCTCTTTTCAACAGTCAGAATTAAAAGAAATTCTTATCTAAGAATAGTTTGTGTATTCATACATGCACGTTAATTATTTCTTTTCAAGACGACCGATAGCTGTTATCTTGACGTGGTGGTTTGGCTTATATGTCGCACTAACCAAACGAGCTAAGCTAGCTGGAGTGAATGTTCCTGCAGGTTGTAGCGTAACAGAAAGGTCGCTTGCACAGTGAAAATTGATTGTACGATGTTGGGGGGTCTGTTGGTGAAGTCGTATTGTTGGCGAAGAGGGACGTAACAACAGTAATATGTGTTTCAACCAGTTGACAAGCCAGGCATTTATAGTAAC